GACTCTTGAAAGCTGCTCCACTTGTTCCCATTCACCCTCCGGAACTCCACATGCCTTGCTCACAGTGCATCTCATTTGCATGATGCCATTCTGCACCTCTCCAAGAAGGTGCTTAGCACGGGCCTAGCGCCAGCCTACTCTACGAGAGAAGCAGTGTCCTGAGAGTCCAGAAAATAACAGATATCATCCTTACCACATCTGCACTCTACAGATGGGGAAAGCAAAGGGTAGGGAAGTTGCTTCTTTGCCCAAAATTGTATAGTAGGTGAACCTAGACTCAAATCCAGCAGCCGCCAGAGCTGTGCATTAACTACTGAGATCCACTGCCACCAATAAGTACAACAAGTCTAAATGCAGAATCAAGCCATCAAAAGAGACAAAGACTGCAAAGCGTCCATACAGTTTTGTTCCACAGTGCAGCACTTGCCTATTGTGCATGAGAAACGGGGTTCCACCCACTGCACTGCCAAAAAAAAAAAAAGGAGACGTCAACAGGAATGTAAGCAAAACCCCTTTCAGTAGAGTGAGGCAGGAACCAGATCACAGAAGGCTAGGGGGTGAGAAAACAGTTCTCTTACCAGCTACCAACAACAACCAGGGCCCAGGCACAATGCCAGGTGCTTTACATACATCCTGGTTCCTAACGTTCCCACCATAGCAAGGTGGATGTTACCATCCCCAATTTTTAGAGGAGGAAACTGAGTCAAAAGTAGTAAAAGCAGCCAGGTGCTGGTGGCTCACGCTTGTTATTCTAGCTACTCGGGAGGCAGAGATCAGGAGGATCACAGTTTGAAGCCAGTCCAGGCAAATAGTTCAAGAGACCCTAGCTCCAAAAAAAGAAATGCAAAACAGGGCTGGTGGAGTAACTCAAGGTGTAGGCTCTGAGTTCAAGCCCAATATTTCAAAAAAAGTGCACAAGGACACACTGCATGTATGAAGCAAGACAGATGCGGACTTCATCTCACCCCAAAAGCTTCGCTCTCTGTCATTCAGAATGCCAGGGCTGACACCAAGGCTCCAAAGCAAATGCCAAATTGAAAAACCAAGCGATTTCACATGCTGTGGACACACAGGTGTATTCTAGTCACTGAGGTTAATCCAAAGCACAGTTAAGCTCAAGTGCTTCTGGAAATGTCTAATTTACTTTCCATCAAGGCCACTCCGATTCCGGCACTCACTCAATAGTTAAGAGCACAAGGCAAAAAAAATGAGTGGATCCTCCCCTGCCAGGGGTGTCTGACACAATTCACAGAGCAAAACAGATTCTAACAGTTACCCAAATTTGACATGATCAAGAGAAACTACAGTAGAAAGCACAGAGTTGAAGGCCAAGTGTGGTGACTCCCACCTGTAATTCTAGCTACTCAGGAGGTAGCAATCAAGAGGATCACCGTTGGAGGACAACCAGGGCAAACAGTTCTCCAGACCATACTATCTCAGCTAATGTCTGGGCACCCACCTGTCATGCTAGCTATGTGGAGAAACACAACTAGGAGGATCACAGTCCAGGCCAGCCCTACCATAAAGCAAGACCCCATCTCAAAAACAACCAAAGCAAAAAAAGGGGTGCTGGAGGTGTGGCTCAAGTGCAAGAATGCCTGCCTAACAAGCTCAAAGTCCTGAGTTCAATCCCTGTAAGGCCAAAAAAAGAAAAAGAAACAAAGAAACAAACAAAAAGGAAAAAGAAAGTATAGGTTTGAAACTTTGTTGTTAAATAGGGAACATCAGTCTTCCCATAAAACCAAAAGGGAACAGGGCTGACATGATTACATGTCTAATAACTTATGTGCCAAGTTCAGACTTTCGCTGTACTGCTACTCACTGACAAGTAATGAATGTATTAATCATGACATAAAAACATGCTAACTTTCAGCCAGGTCCTAGGCTCACACCTGTAATCCTAGCTACTCAAGAGGCAGAGACCAGGAGGAATGCAGTTGGAAGCCAGACTGGGCAAATAGTTTACCAGACTCTATCTCGAAAAAAAAAAAAATCACAAAAAAGATCTGGTGGAGAGGCTCAAGTGGTAGAGCACCTGCCTAGCAAAAGTAAGTCCCTAAATTCAAATTCCAGTACTGCCAAAAATAAAAATGAAGTAACTTTCAACATGAATTCTCTCTCCCCCACTTCTCCCAATCCCCTACCTCTTTCCCCGTCCCCCCCAGCACTTTTTGAGACAGGGTATCATGTAGCTCAGGCTGGCCTTGAACATGGGAATCCTCCTGCCTCACCCTCTTAAATGCTGGGATTACAGGCATGCACCACTACACCCAGCTTGGCTCTTTCCTCCTCTTTCCTTTCTTCTTCCCCTCCTTTCCTTCTTTCTTTCCTTCTTGTTGAATTTATTTCATTTCTACCTGGGAAGGAGGGAAGGGAAGGTAGAGATTTTAGCAGGTCAAGCATGTTAAAAACTCCACTTTCCTCCAGTTCCTTTTTCATTTTAATTGGAATGTCAGAGAAAAGAAAATTACCTTTTGCCTGGTAATGGAACTGCCAATAGTGACAGCTTTATGTCACTGTCAGACAACACTTTTCAGATGCTTGTCTGTAAAGAGGAGACAGAGCCGTGGACAGAGGGACGAAGAGTGGGTAAGAGGATGGCGCTTCCGAGCGCGTTCAGGGAGAGTCAAAGACTGAAGCCATGAAGGCAGATTAGTCATGTGCCAGAGCGATCGATGGCAGGGCATGCTGTCCGAATGACTTCAGCGGTTCTTCAACCATACCAGATAAGAGAAACAAACTTCACCAAAACCCTCCAACAACAGAAGGACTGCATCACTCAGCTGTGGCCACAGCTGCTGGGACCATCCCAGAGTCCCACTCTCAAAGACTAAGTACAGGGACAAGAACAACTCACAGACACCAAATTTAATTTCCCGACCGTGAACACCAGAAAGGAATGCCAGTCAGCATCCTTAGAATGAGTTAAGCACTGACTACCTATTGAAATAACACACACCAAAGGGCAAATCTGTAGAACCCAGAAATCTGCCAGAAGCCAGACCAGCTAGCAGCATGCTCCTGTCTTTAACCTGTAACCACCACCCTCTGCCAATACTTTGAGGCACCTGCTGCCCAGCTATCCAGCCTGAGTGCTCATTCACCAACTGGCCCTCGATTTTCCATGTCCCAGCTAATTCTGAATGGCCCAAGCCCTCCTCATCTCCCTAGGTCCACTTCAAAGGTCATTTCCCCTCTAAGCTGTTTCTGATCCTAACCATAACAAAATCCCTAACAGCTGGTATATCCCTGTGGTAATGGAGTTCTGACACACTTTATAACCTCTGGATCTATCTTATGTTCCTCATGGGCAGAAACTGTATGTGCACTTAGCTCCACCTCTCTTCTCCAGCAAAGCTGCAGCTAGAGCCCAGACAGACCCAGCCCTGACTCAGTCTACCTCCATCAGACACAGAAACTCTTTCAGCACATTTTCTACACAGTGGAGCCACCTTCTCCAAACTCCTAGCGAATAAACACACTTGGAGTCAGGAGGTTCATCTTAGATACACAACAGACATTTTCATTCCAGAATCCTTAGACATACCAGGAGCAGTGCCTCACACCCATAATTCGAGCTACTTGGGAGGCAAAGGTCAGGAAGATCATGGCTTGAAGCAAGCCGGGGCAAAAAGTTAGTGAGACTCCCATCTATAGAAAAAGGTACCTATCAACCCAGCTATGAAGGAAGCTTAAACAGGAGTGTTGCATTAAGGCCCACCCAAGACCCTACTTGAAAAATAACTAAAGCAAAAAGGGTCGGAGGCATGGCTCAAGTGGTAGAGCACCTGCCCAAGCAAGCTCAAGACCCTGAGTTCAAACCCCGTATCACCACAAAAAAAAAAAAAAGACAGAGAATCCTTAGATAAAAAGAGGAAATTTAGAAGGTACTGTTTGACTGATGATACATTCATCTACAAATAGCATCAGACAGACCCCAGGCTGACCAAAAAGGGTCTGACAGGTACAAACTAGCTTCAAACGGTAACAGGTTCAACAGCAGCCTTGGAGGCCTTCTACTCACAGCAGACTCCGGACGGCTGGGGAGGGTGGCTCAGTGGCAGAGCCCTGGCTTAGCACCTGCAAGACCCTGAGTTCGATTCCCAGCACAAGAAAACAAAGAAGACTCCAAAACAGCTCAGAATTCATCACCCAGCAGCACTGAAATCTGCTAGTTGCCAACAAAGTCAGACATCACATTTTCTTCCCCAAGCCCCCTCACCAGCTGTCTCTAGGGTGAAGCGTTCAGTCAATCAAAGCAGTACCAACAGGCCTGGCTTTATTCTCCACGGTGCCCTTCAAGAGAGCTGCAACCACAAGCCTCTAAATGATCTTTTTTCTTTTTTGGTTTATTCAGACCGGTTCTTGCTCAGGAGCCCAGGCTGGCGTGGACCTCGCGATCCTCCTTCCTCTGCCTCCCGTAGAAGAACGTGCTATCACTTCTTAATCTGCTTTATCAAGCACGAGGAAAGGTAAGACCCCAGGACACCTGTGGACACTCACCGACCCTTCCACCTAGACTCCCGCTATTACCTTCGCACTTCCTGCCACCCGCACCCTCTAGAGAGGTGTCCAATATGCAGGCCCATAGTATCGCAAGCACTACCCAAAGTCGGCAATGGCAAACAACCAAAGAGCTCCCCGAGCCAAATCCAAACTCTGCAGGCCTCGGCCTCTACGTGGGGGGTCCCGCTGTGTCGGTCCGGCGCTGGCTGGAACCCCGGTTTCAGGGCTGCGGGTGGGTCAACCTGGGTGGTGGGGCCCACGCTGCGGCCGGCGATCGCGAAGCGGCCCCACCGGCCCGGAAGATGGAGAAGAGGGGCTGACGGCCACCAGGGCCGCAACCAGCTCCGGCTGTGCCCGCCCGCCCCCCGGTCCGGCCCGGCTCGGCTCGGCTCGGTCGAGCCTGACCCGCTGCACCCCAGCTGCGCCCGCCCGGCCCTGCTTAGTCCCCACAGGACCCGCCCTCCCGGCTCCCGGCCCTATCCGGCTGGGCTCACCCGCACCGCGGGCAGCAGCGCGCCCCGGCCCTGCCCGGCCCGGCCAGCCGCTCGGCGGACGTCCGCGGCCGCGCCGGCCTCACTTGCGGCGGCGAGCGCTGGGCCCGGGCCCGCTCGGCACCATCCTCCCCGCCGCGCCGAGGGCAGCGTCAGGCTCCACAAGGCCGACGCGACGACCTCAGGCCAGCCGGGCTCCCGCCACCGCAGCACAGACTCCGCTCGGACTCCGGCAGCAGCGGTTTCCGGTTTAAAAAAAAAAAAATTGCCACCGCCAACGCTGCTGTGACCTCTGACACCTGACGTCAGACGGCGGCGCGATTAGTACACAACGCATTAAGACTCGAGTCGCGGAGACTCTGCCTTCCGGCCAGATTATGTATGTAAGTGTGCGCGCGGCGCGTTCTCGGCCGTGTGCGGCGTCTGCGAAGACGTGCGTGCGTCATCACGTACAGTGTGCGTGATGGGCGTATTTGGCTGTACTGCGCGCTTTGGGTCTAGGGTGTACGAAGGGTAAGAGTGCATGGGATGTGCGCATGCGTACTGTGTGCCTCGTGTGCTTGTTTGTGAATGCAAAGGAGGCACACCCATGTGTGTGTGTTGTGCGTCTGTGCTGTGTATTAACCACTGATGATAACAGTATAATTTTGTGTAGCCTAGTCCTGAGTTTCTTCCCTGCGAAAGAAAAAAAGTATCGTACATGTCATAAAATAATTTAGCATTATCCAGTTCACTTAGTTATACATATCACTTCTTGAGAATACTACCCTAGAGAAACACTTGGACATGTCCCCAAGTAGACATAAAAATGTTTATGTGGGCCCGACTCCAGTGGCTCACGCCTGCAATCCCAACTACTCAGGAGGATCATGGTTCGAAGCCAGCCCAGGCAAATAGTTTGCGAGCTTCTATCTTGGAAAAAAAAAAAAAAATCACAAAATAAGGCTGGTGAGGTTATTCAAGTGGTAGAGCATCTGCCTAGCAAGTGTAAGGCCCTGAGTTCAAACCCCAGTGCTGCCCTCCCAAAAAACTTCCTGGTGTTAAAGGAAGAGTCCTATTGGGGAGGGTCCTATTTTCTTTGGGTACACTGTTATTTATTGAATTGTTATTGTTTAAGTTTTATACAAAGCATATATCTTGCATCTAGTAAATATTTAATAAAAATAAAAAATACACTCTTGTGAAGACAAAATAATTATTTTTTGTTTATACCACCAAAAAAACAACACATTACTATTCACTATTCACCATTGGACTAGAAACTCGTCAGATGCCTAGATGACATGTATCAATTAAAGACCTTACTAAGATACCAACTATCTTGGGTTTTTTGAAGGAAAAAAATACTCCTTAGGTTTTTTGTTTCTCAGTACTGCAACCACAATTTTGAAGGCAGAGTAACTGATAAAATGACCAGATGAAGAACAAGACCCATAAAGGACCTTAAGAATTCCCACCTAATGGCTACACTGCATCATAAATTGATACACTTTTTAAAACTGGCTATGAAGAGTCCTGAATTGGTTTTCTGGGACTGGGATTTGAACTCAGGGCTTTGCACTTGCAAATCAGGTGCTTTATGGCTCCAGTCCATTTTGCTCTGATTATTTTGGAGATGGAGTCTCAAGAACTATTTGCCTGGGCTGGCCCTGAACTGCAATCCTCCTGATCTCAGTCTCCCAAGTACCTGGGATTACAAGTGTGAGTACTGGCACCTGGCACCCCTCAAAATGTTCTCATGAACTCTCATGTGTAGATTCAAAGCCAAGACTAGCAATAATGAGATCTGTCCACTGCTCTGGTTCCATTGAATCATGCATGTCCCTCCTTCCCGGCTTGAGGCAGTTGGGTTTAGGGAGAATGGTACGTGGTTTTATCTCTATTTTGAGACAGCACTCGCCTCTTTCCAGTTACTAAGTGTCTTAAAAAAGGTCAAATCTAGGAGATGTTGGTTGATGTGAGTCATTTAGAGTCAAAGGAGGGTGACTGTAGGCATGAACCAGGTATTTTTGACAAGGGCATCAATCAAAAGCCTTCAGAAGCTGCTTAACTTCCAACAGAGCGTATCCTGTATCTTAAAATTTCTGAAGCATGCCACATAGCCAGGTGTGGTGATGCACCTCTGTAATCTCAGCACTCACAAGGCTAAAGCAGGAGGATCCTGAGTTCGAGAGCTCACTGGTGGAGTGGCTCAAGTGGTAGAAAGACTGCCTGGCAAGCATGAGGCCCTGAGTTCAAACCCCAGTACCATCATAAAAAGAGTAATGAGTTCAAGAGCTCAAGACTCTATCACAAAAATAAATAAATAATAAAGCACTCACATTGGAAGTGGAGACTTTGATGAGTTCATGCTCAATGTGAGCTACAAAAAACTGCCATTGACAAAGTGGAAATTTAAATGTATATTTACAGTTTGATGATTGAAGATTAAACTTAAACTTGGATTTATTAAAGTGAAGGGCAGTAAGTAGGTCGTTGTGACAGAATAAATACATTCTGGCACCACCTGTAATCTTAGCTACTTGGGAGGCTCAGACCCTGGGACTGAGGTTCCAGGACAGCCCAGGCAAAAAGTTCATGAAGCCTCATCTCAAGCAATGGCTGGGTGTGGTGGTGCATACTTGCCACTCCAACTATTCAGGGAAGCATAAATAGGAGGATTATGGTCCAGGCTAACCAGGGCAAAAAGCAAGAGCCTATCTCCAAATAACTAAAGCAAGAGAGCCTGAGGTGTGGCTCAAGTGGTAGATTACCTGCTTCACAAGTGTGAAGCCCTGAGTTCAAATCCCAGTACTGCCCAAGTAAATAACAAATGCTATAATGAGTTAATAAGAAAATGTTTTGTCAATTCTATGCATACCACAGCTCATGGAAAAAAGGTTTCTTGTTTGTTTGTTTTTGGTGCTACTGAGGTTTGAACTGGGGGTGAAACCCTGGAAAGAGAAAAGCATTACCCATGGGTGAGTTATTGAACTACAATTCCGATGGGTTCAGGACCACACGCAGTGTTGCAAACCTTCCCGCAGGAAGAAAAAGGTTCCAGTGAGCGCACAGCATTGGATATGGAAATACCCAGTCTCAAGACAAACTTGCAAAGGTGCTTTGATTCAAAATTTCAACATAATTGGCATTCCTTCTTTAAAAAGCAGAATCAAGGGGCCAATGGAGGAAGACATTGATGAGAAGGCTGGATTTATTCACCCGGCCCCCAGCGGGGTTCCCACACCATTTACAAATGCATCAGAAGTTTTAAGAATGCCTTTTGGGTTTACTGGGGACAAGGACACAGTGTCCTGTGCTGCCCTGGCCGACTAATGAGCCCCTGAGGGGTAAGAGAATTAATTCAGGGAGATATGCAGATACCACCGTGACCAGAATAAAATTAGTCTGGTTAAAAGCTGGAAAAATGTGATCTTTTAAAAATGTGTATTGTAGCCAGGCGCCAGTAGCTCACACCTGTAATCTTACCTACCCAGGAGGCAGAGATCAAGAGGATCATGGTTGGAAGCCAGACCCTATCTTGAAAAAACCCATCACAAAAAGGGCTGGTAGAGTGGCTCAAGGTGTAGACCCTGAGTTCAAATCCCAGTACTGAAAAAAAAAAAAGTGTGCTGTGATGTCTCCCTTACCCGAGTGCGTGGTGCATAGGGCTATAACGTGGCCGTGGAAATGTCTCCCCCTGCTGGACAAACGTAGTAAGGACGAGCACGCACATCCGTGTCACTGGCTGTGCAAAATGAGTGTTTATTTAGCCTTACCTAAGCCAAGTCAGATAATCAGTTTGAAACAATGTCAGATACTTGTAGAACAAGGAGAAATTGTTGCCCTGATTAAGGAAACATTAAATGTGTGTGTGTGTGTGTGTGTGTGTGTGTGTGTGTGTGTGTATGTAAAGCTTTATTTTTATTTGTGTATATATATATTTTTTTTCTTTTGGCAGCACTGGGGTTTGAACTCAGGTCCTCATGCTTACTAGGCGGGCACTCTACCACTTGAGCCACTCCACCAGCTTAAGGAAACATTAAATACAGGTATTTTAGTATCCACAAACTGACAACAGGATATCCCAGTGTGCCATCAAGAGCAGTGGCACCCACCTGTAGTCCTGGCTACTTGGGAGGCTGAGGCAGGAGAATCACTTGAGTACAGGAGCCTGAGACCATCCTGGGCATGATAGCAAGGTCCCGTCTCTCACAACAAACACAAGGCAGGCACTGGTGGCTTATGCCTGTCATCCTAGTGATTTGGGAGACCGAGATCAAGAGGATCTCTGTTTGAGACTAGCCTGGACAAACAGTTTGCAAGATAGCTCCACCTCCAAAATAACCAGAGCAAAATGGGCAGGAGGTGTGGCTCAAGCTATAGAGTTCCTGCTTTGCAAGTGTGAAGCACTGAGTTCAAATTCCAGTTCCTTCCCTCAGACAAAAACCCACAAAAGGGATACTCCACAGTGTGAACAAAGGAGAAGGCTGACAGATCAGAGACACAGCAGACTTCAGAGAACACAACAAACAGCACCCCTACACAGCCTCAGAAGTCTCCAGTAGGGTTAGGTGCTCTGGTACACACCTGTAATCCAGGCTATTTGGCAGGTGGAGATTGTGAGGATTGTGGTTTGATGGCAAAAAGTTATTAAGACCCCATCTTAACCAATAAGTTGAGTGTGGTGGTACATACCTTTCATCCCAGCTATGCAGCAGGCATAGGGAAGAGGATCGTGGTCCAAGGCTGGCCCTGAGCCAAAATGTGATCCTCTATCAAAAAAATAACTAAAGTTGAAAAGGGCTGGTGGAGTGGCTCAAGAGGTAAGGCGCCTGCCTAGGAAGTGTGAGGCCCTCACACTCAGGGCTGCCAAGGAAAAAAAAAAAAACAACCCCCGAGTAGAGGCAGAGAATTCCACTCCTAAAGCAAGCTGAGAGTGACTGGTACCGTCCAATTCATCTTTGTAGTCACTTGTGTCAGATGAAAACAGGTGATAATTTGTGTTTGTGTGGGACCATCTATAATGCACATTACTGCCTTTTTTTGTTTCTTTTTTTTTTCTTTTCCTTTTTTATTTATTTATTTTTTTTGGCAGTACTGGGACTTGAACTCCAGGTCTACACCTTGAGGCACTCTACCAGTCCTTTTTGTGAAAGGGCTTTTTTTGAGACAGGATCTCACTGTTTCCCCAGGCTGTCTTCAAACCACAACCCTCCTGATCTCTGCCTCCTGAGTAGCCAGGATTATAGGAGTGAGTCACCCTGCCTGGCTCTTTTTGGTTTTCTTATTTCTTACCCTCCTTCTCCCCATTCACAGTACAGACCAGGCGCAGGCCCTGGACTGAGGTGTATGTGGGGCTGGATTTCTTTTCCTCCTCTTACTGTA